GAATCTTTTATGAAGAAATTTTATATTTATATCACACTCAAGTAAAAATCATTACTTTGAGAGCGGGGAAAAAAAATTATGGTGACAGAAAATAAATAAAGTCACGATTTTATTGTAGGCCTATAACACCTTATGTTTTTAATGCGTTAAACTTAATAAACTGTTAGACTTGTGTTATTTTTAATTCATGTATTCAGTAATTGGCATTGAATGATAGTTATTTGTACCTGCACCTATCTCTGTCATTACTCATTAGTTAATCGTGAACTTTCTCGATATTATCCGTGTCTGTCATCGGGTTGTTTATTAGATTTGTTTTTTAACTTACCATACTCCAATCGAGGAACCGTCCTAGGGTCGGTCAATAATGACGTGAGCGGGACTAACTGATAATAAAGGTCTAACGCATTCGCCCTTCTTCCATTGGACCAACTAATGAATTAGACCTAGCAGAGTTACCCTTCTTCCGTCCTCTAGTAAATTTAATTAACACTAGTCTATTAGCTTCTATTAAAATGACACGAGTATTAATTTGTACGGTTATATTATAGAAATACACGACACAAACTGATTGTCGTATGCCCATTCGCTTTGTGTGAATATTATTTTATTATTTCTATATTATATATAATTAAATTACACATAATAATAATAGTAATAATTATATAAACTTACACATTCATGTTCAAGCACACAACTAGCTGTACATCCAAATCATCAACATTTCATCAATACAGTTAACGTAGTTGTATACCGCCCTCCTTAGTTTAAAAAGGTTTTTTTTTTTTTTTTTGCTTTTTAACGATATTGTAGATTAAACCTAAATTTGTCTTTTTCCAGGGTTGAAGTAGTACTTGTTAGCATGAATCTTTTAATGCTAATATTGTATTTGTCTATATTGATTATAATAAGTGTCTACATGTTCAACCTCCTTGCACACAATTTCAAAGCCATCCAAATTTAAAGAGCTGCACAGATTACATAAACTTTATTCAAATTGATAACAAATAAGTATGGTAAGTAATTTATTCAGGTAGATCACTCTCTTTAACAGTGGCATGCTTCATTATTGTAAAGGCTCGTGCAAACAAAATACACGGTCATGAAACCTAATTCAAAGCAACTGGCATGAATAAGCTATATACCGCAAAATAGAAGCAACCAACCAATAATAATAATAATAATAATAATAATAATAATAATAATAATAATAATACAATAATAATA